TTGTCCACGAGTCGATCGCGTTGTCGGGCATAAGGCTACCAACAACCTAAGAATGTTCGGTTCACCTCCCGCTAGTCTTGTGTCGGTGAATGATACCATCATCCTACAACTCACCGGGTTTCTGAATCAGATTCTGATGGGTTCCTGAATCGGATCCCGATGTCGTAGGATGACATATCATTCTGCTCTATCTCTGGTGTCCTTTTGTCATCACCGCCCTAAGCCCCAAAATAAAACTGGCTTACTTACGACCTTGTTTGATAGTTTCACGTATAGCAAAAGACTATACGTTGACACTTATGTATTAAACATAAGCATCAAAAATCGAACCAAGAAACAAGAAAAAAAAACAAAAATGGGGTGAGAGAGAGGAGGTACTGATTCAACTAAAACATCAAAAAGAACGAAGGATGAACAGCTCTCAAAACTCGTGACGAAAAGACCTAAAAAGGAAAGCCCGAAGATCCTTGAATCAATCCAAAAGGGTATCATTTTCTCACGTTTTCTTATAAATGGCTTAACACACGTCAAAATGGCCTCACACACCAGTGACTTCCTAACATTGGTGCTCAGCTCCCAAAGACATCTTTTATGAAATCAATTCGTCTCAACCATGTATTCTCCCGAAATAAAATTCGGAAATCTCCCAAACTTCACAATTTAAATGAAAGGAATATAATCTTGGGACGGCGACCACTTATACTTCCAAAAATAATGTCAACATTAAAACTATTCAATTCCAGACTTTATGAAAATCTCCTCGTATTAAATAAACATGAAATCCTCCGGCTAAAACCGCATAGAAGCTCACGACCGGGCTTCAACAAATACATGAACAACAACCGCTCACGACCGGGCTTCAACAAATAGATGAACAACAACCAAGGCTCTCGGCCAAAGCAACCCACAAGGGAGGCAACTACTAAGGCTCATGGCAGCAAGGAACAACTGCTAAGACCCACGACCAAAGGCAACCCATGGAACAACAAGTAAGGCTCACGACTAAGGCAACCGAACTAGCTATATAAGGATCTATGATATACATATGAGAGTGCAAAATATAATCATAATATAATTCCACCTACAATCATCCAAGTAGTTCAAGCCCAACAAGAAGAACTAAATCACACCAAACAACCTCCAGTAGGTCTCGCGGGTAATAAGTGCAAGAGGAGCAAATCTCAATGGTGAGCTCACGGGTAAGACCAAAGGGGGAGGCTAACTCGATCACATCAAATATCAAAACTGCAGCCTTATAAACTTTCAAACCAATCCATCAAAACCAGTCAACAGTTCTCGAATAAGGACAACACAGTACGCCAAAACAGGCTCTTGGGTAGGAGCAAAGGCTAACAAAAATCAAAACCCAAGCCACTTCTGGGGTAGGGGCAGGACAAGGCCAAACCGAGCTCCCAGCAAGAGCCAAACCGAGCCACAACCAAGGTCCAAATCCAGGCCACAACTAAGACTAGAAAACAAGTAAAAACCAAAGCCACTTCGGGGGTAGGGGCAGGACAAGGCAAAACCGAGCTCCCAACAAGAGCCAAACCGAGCCACAGTATGTTTCAGACAAGAATATATATGGAACTCCTCCAAATCAAAATAAATTCCTCCACAACATGTATATTTAAGCCAAAAACACTCACAAGATACCAAAACCAAGCCCAGCTGGGGCCAAAGCCAAACCAAATGACCTATCAACAAGCTCATGGGTAGGACTATGAACAAACCAAAGCAAGCTCCTAAGCTACCTCTCGGGCAGGAGCAAAACCAGACAAAAAACCGAGACCC